GACTTGTTTTTGTTTACCGTGGTTGTGAGACGATTTCACGAGACTTAGGCAACAGAGCACTTGGGTTTTTGTGGAAATATCGTCAGAGAATTTCAGGCCAAACAGCTCAGTACCCAAAAATACGGACACTTCAGTCATAGTCAAATGAGCTAGATTACAAATTATTTTTCCGGTTTTACGCATAAAAAAAGCATTTGCTATCTTATTACCAGTGATAGCGAAGCTATATAGTGTACTGTCAGAATAGACAGGGCACATCACGCAGGATAAATAAGTCAAACTAATCTAGTTCCTGATATCCCTAATGCATGCAATCTCACTTAAGCAAATACGCATTTGATAAATACCCGCAATTAGCTGTTCTCACTGCGAAAACATATTAATGTGTCTTCCGATGCTAAAATGCAAACTTTCCTTCCCACTGACGCGCAAAATGCAGTCTAATCGTGATGTGTTGTTTAAACGAAGTTGCGCTTTGATTTAAAACCTGAGCAACAAGGCTGCAGATTGTGACTAAACATTTCTTACAGAAGCACGCCAAGGTAATTTAAAATTACTACATTGTGGCAAATAAAAAATTAAATGAAGATACACTTAGATAGCTGCAATATCCTGGGTCATAGATGGTTGTGCAATGCCCAGCCACCTGATTATTGGGGATGTGCTCCGTTGTGGCATCAATTATTTTTAAGTCAAAGCCGTTTTTTGGTGTCAGTGTGACTATTCACTGGATTTAGCCTTTAGTCCGCATTTTACTAGCCCCTCTGTGGAGTGCACTTCTGTTGTGTGGATCATAGATGCATCAACCGCGAAATGCTACATTATTTGTACATTACCTACACAGTCAAATCGCTAGCACGATTGCGAGAAATATGCGTAAAATGTAATGAAATTTCGGCCTTAGTACCGGCTGGGTTTCGTACGCTTTCTGGCTTTACGTGACATTGGTTATGACATTAATTTTGTACCAGAATGATTTGACATGACTTTAGGTAATGAAGAACCACATTAACGGTGTTAGAAAGCCGTATGGGAATTCAAGTTATTCGTAAATAGTTCCACTAAAACGTGTCAGATCGCCACACTGAAAAAACCACTATGGCATCATGATTTTTCTTCAGTCGAACCTTTTTCTGACTAGGCCAGGGCAGATCAGTACAGCAAATAACACACGAGGTGAACCTCGGGGATCACAAGAGAGCATCGATAATATCGTAAAACAGCATGACATTTTGAATAGACAATTTGCAATTAACCACTGGTTTTCTTTGATGGTGCTTCCAAGAAATTACTTGATTATTAAAAAAAACGTTTAAGGCTGTATATTACTTTTCTCAAGCCGAAGGTTTAGACCGTGTGTTTTTACAATCGCTGGGTTGCATTTCAAAGTTAAAACAATTCTAAATATAAAGATTAGAGTAAGAGCCTTATACGAACATGAATTTTGTTCGTAGCCCTCCAACGATTTGTCATTCCAACTTCTTTTCATACAAAATAAGAATTAAATTTTCGAATTTTCTAGATGCAGCCATTAGGTTGGAACTGAGTTAATGCTGTTTCCCATAACTACCAACAAATCGTGAACTCATTCATCGCCATTAGACGCCCCTAATTACCTTAAACCTGTTATTAAGCACCGTTTTGAAGGCCTCTTATTCTAAGTCAGCTAATGACATCTCTGTGGAATTTGAAGAAGCTTTCATTACGTCGTAGTCATCAACTGTTGTGATCCCCAGCATGTGGTCGTGAACCACGTCGGGGTCACTGAATTAACCCCGATTACGCTGCCCTGATACCCGCGATGAAGAAAAAGATCGCAGACTAAACCGTTTACTTCAGGGCTCAACTACGTTGGTGTCGTTGTGTCGTATGTGGGGCTTGCACGTGTGCATTTATACCTCAGATGTGTGGGTCATAGATGAGCTAACATCGAGGATAAACCAGGATAAATATCCGTGTGAATGAGGGGAGAGTTGAGGATCCGCGTGGCTGGTGACATGCTAAGAAAAGGAGGATCCTGTGCCGGAGGCTGGAGTGAACAGATTTGCAGCTTAGTAATGATACCATCGAAAGTTTGAAGATGCGGAAGTACAGGCTCCACTGGATGAATATTCAACGCAAACGCAACAAGAGCTTGCAGCTCAGTTAGGAGTCACTCAAGCAGCTATTTTCTGGCGTTTACACTACCAAACGGGAAAAAATGTAAAAAAAAAACGTGGAAGTTGAGTGCCACATGTTTTAACCGAACAAACCCAACGTCAACTTACTAATATGTACCTTTCACGGATTGCCCGCCGGCAACATAAAAAGAACCTCTTGTCTAAATCTATGACGAGTGATATAAAGCATATTTTTATGAGAATACTCAAAGTAAAATTCCTTGGGTAGGTCATGAGCAGCCCAGTACACTTAGGCCGAAATAGGAAGAGGGTTATCCTGTATGTCTGGTGGGACATGAAGGGTGTACTTCATTACAAACTCCTGGAAAATAGTCAGACGGTGACTGCTTAACCCTACAGCCAATAATTGAACAAGCTAAACAAAAAAACTTGCCGATTAGGAGCCACCCAAATAACGATTTCCAAATGGGAGGAAAATTAATTACTAGGAAGTTGGATCCCACATGTCGTAATCAAGCATGACCTCGGTCACCGTTTGCGCACCAACAATAAGCGGGTAACAGACCTCTTGTGGAGAATTGTGACGGATTATGAAAAGAATGTTTTACGAGAATCCCAAATGTAATATTGTGGTTATATCCCAGTCAACCCAGTACACCGAAGCCCAAACAGGACATCCACTTGAAGAAGGTTCGTCTGTTTCTGGTGACACATAAAGGGTCGACTTAATTACAAACTCCTGGAAACTGATCTGATGGCCAATGCAGTACGCTACAATCGACAATTGAAAAAAAAACCGAGCAAAGAAATTGATCCGTATAGGCCATTTGCTTGGCAAGGAAGCAGACAAGTCATTCTGATGCTACTAGACAAAGCTCCACGTCATGTTACTCGAGGGACCCAGGCGAGACTCTAGAAGTTCTGCCACGCGCTGCACATTCACCAGGCTTAGCCTCATCCTACTACCTTAGTGGATGAATACTACGAAATGTAAGACGATGTGCATAAATTAATCGATGACTTTATTGGCTCGATGAGAGCAAATTTCTTTTGCGACGGCATTTAAACGTCACCTGAACGATGGTGTAAAGTCAAAGAGGACAATGGATAATATTTCCAAGATTAAGCTTAATATTCCCAATTTTTCATACTCAGTTATTTTGCTAGAAAATCTGCAGAAATTAAGTCATACACCTATTAATTTGCCGTCATTTATAGTGCATAAGCAGCTAATTTATCAAAACCACTTATTAGTAGTCGTAAATAACGCCAATATTAGCAGCATAAGTTTTTCGTGGGGCCGAATTTATGCCGAACTTGAAAGGTACCTTAGAATTCTTTTAAATCCAGTTAAAAAAGGAGAAGCAACTTTTAGGCTCTGATATGTGTAAGGTCAGATCAAGTCCAGCAGACTTTTATTCGCCAACTATATCCCGATTTCCGAGATGAACTTTAAATACCGCCTTACTTAGAGTAACTTTACCAAATCAGAAATAAATCATACCTACGCTTTTGATTGATCAGTTGACAACTTCAGAGGCGTACATACAAAATTTGTATTGTACAAAAGGCTATCTAAATTTTATTCAAAGGTAAAAACCGACCAACAGAAAATCATTCAGAAAAACTATGTCATAAGACCATGTATACAGAAATGTTACAATATGAAATCGAAAAAGCTCTAAATTAACAGTAGAGGCGTATGTCGTAGTTTTGAAGAACGCCTACACAGTTTGAGTCAAGGTTTACAATGGCTAAGTGAAAACATAAAAATGAAATAAAACTTGCCACATTTTTTGGGTAACGCACCATCTTCTCTTGAATTTCATAAAAGGAAAGTCAGATTTTACAACTTCCAATTACAATATCACCGAGACTTTGCAATGCCTTCGCAGTAGCATGCAACAATGTATGATGGAAATGCATACGTTTCCGCAAAAAATTCTGTTTTTCCTATGATCCTGCAAAGTTATATTATATATGGCCTGTAAATGTAAACCAATAAATCGTACATTTATGTCCTATTCTTCGTGAAAAATTAAATTTATTCATAAAAAGGCAACAAAAAAATTTGAACTAATTTTTGTAGTAACTTATAAGACTAAGTTTTAGCAGTAATTAAATTCATTTAAAAATATGCTTGCACTTAAATGTTACTTGACTTGAGTCATTTATTTTAATTTACAATTTCGACCTTCGGGGCACTTTCATCTAGGTGATTGGTTGGAATTATTTATGTTCGCTACGCAAGTTGACGTTAAGGCTATTTCAAGTGTAAAATTTCTGCCATGCAGTTAATTTTGTGTCCCTACGCAATTAGAGATGTAAATTGATTTTTAAGGGTTCGAAAAATTTCTCAAAGCAGTATACGCTTTTTTTGAATTTTGTACCTAACTATTTTCTATTGAGGCAATTCACTGAAATGCAACGAAGACAATTTGATTTATGAAATGTCTCTTAGTTGATGTAACAACTGTGGAATACCCCTATATTTCTTGTGTGTAAAGTGTAATCTTGAACCTTGGGCACATATAAACCTATTTCGGTTGCTTCTTTATATGTGATAGACTCCATTTCCTCGCATACACGTCTAAGTATTGGTTCGATTCTGGTCTCAAAATGCATGATTGGGATTAATTTAACATACCATGTATTCTGATGTCGTTCAATGTGTTTAAACTAGAGTGTTTTTATTCAGGGTTTAAAGTTAATGGTTACATTCGATAGAACATAGAATATTCTAATTTGTTATCATGCGCCGATTTAGCATCGAAAACCAGCACTATCACTTACCAACAATCCACCAGTCGCATGAAATATATTGTTCTCTTTCTCTGACGTAATTTATTAACTTCGGTTTATTTTAGATGTGCTTTGTAAATGCCTGCGGAGTTCCGCTTGAAGTACAAGTCAGTACGAATAGTTGTTAACGAGACTTGGAGTTTGCTATTCCTCAAACAGCTTGTTTGCTTAGAACTGGATTGTGAACCCCACTCTCACTTTCTTGCTTATCAAGGCGCTCAGTTAGCGGACTGGGATAAAGTCTCTCGTTACGATTTTCTTCTTGCGGATAATGTCGCGATCGATGTCCTGCCCCACACTAATATATATCATTACTATGTTTTATGCTACACCTGCAACGACGTCACCCCAGCTGTCTTTTCCACTATTTGTGACAAATGCTTGTCTTCTGAATTCACGGTGTCATCCGCTTTACTGCATCCCGAAATCCGGACCGTAAGCGGAAATTGTAATAAGTGCTGCAACAGCTCTGCCAAAGTTGTTTTTGCTTGCTCTAAAGATTGTTCCCATAGTCCTGTAGTTTTCCTGAAAAATGTCGTACGAAATCTTGACCGATCAACTTGCATCGCTTGTTGCGGCAGTGACGCTGAAATCGTGGTAACATTCTGCAAAGACGTTGGTCACATTCTTTGCCTTGATTGTTTTCGCACTTACGCTGAGAGCTACCTATCTGATATGCGTTTCGAAATGGTCCCTGACATTGGGTATACACTCCGTTGTCCCGTTGGGTGCCCTGAGTCCTATATTCCCGATACTCACATTTTTCGGGTTCTTGGGGAATCATTTTACTCCTTCTACAAAATGGTTGCGGCCAGATCACTCTGCTACAACGAAGGATATTTCTCTTGTCCTGAATGCGGTAATTTTTGGGAGAGACCGGGCGAGCCCAAAAATTCCACTTGGTTTATTTGCGAGGAACCTTATGGTTGTGGAGCGGAATTCTGTGTACAGTGTGGAACCGTAGTCTCCTGCGATGGCTCTTTATCACGATGTATGTGTGGTGGAAGCATATCTGTGGGAAAAGGGCCATTGGGCACAGCGTCCTCCTTAGATGGGCATCCGGAAACATGGACAGGAGTCAAATTGACTCCGTCTGAACTAGCTAGTTGTTCCCTTATCGCCGTCACTTGCAAACCCTGTCCTCGATGCAGAAGTCAGACAGCCAAAGACGGTGGCTGCAATCACGTGACCTGCTCCCAGTGTGGCCTTGAATGGTGCTGGATATGTTTGAGTTCGTGGACCGGTTCCTGCCAATCCAGTCACTGGTTTTAATTACTTTTTGCCCGTACTCTGTAGACATCCATTTGTAATTAGTTTTGTATTATAAATCCTTTTTTCCGATAAGATTGCGTTTTCATGCCTTGCTTTCTGATTGTCTGGGTTAAATGATGGGAAATAATTTATAAATGTGGCTAAGACTGCCTCGTGGTTCAATAGTTACTTGTTTTAAAGCAGTAGCTATTCATGTAATACGATGCGACCACGTGCACTTGTGTGTTCAGACATCTTGCGTTTGTAGCATTTTCACTTTTACCCGCGCATTACCATTAAATTTGGTGGCTAACTTTGCGTCGGTTCACACTTGTGTCATACATTTACTTTAATCGAGCGTCGACCTCCACCAGACTAGTCTGGTTTTGTTCAAACACCAGTTTTAGTTTTGGGAACCAAAGGTTTTAATAGGCTGGAAAGGACGTGCGAACGATCAGTATTTGGTGCTTTTTGCACTGCTTTAATCTTATCGATTATTTATGAGTTGTGGGTTAATTCAGTATTTCACAGTCGCCAACGCTGGATGTCAGCTGGTTCAGTTCGAGCGCCTCTTGTTATACCCCTGCGACTCCCCACCGAGGGTCAGCCCAGGAACGCGATCGACAATGCCACTTTAATAGAACTGTCCTCCGATACACCATCAGCACGGATTTACTTTACTATCGATGGATCTAGACCAGATCCCATTGCTTGGAAGCCACGCCAACCACAACCGGGACCCACCTACCTCTTCCGAGAACCCTTCACTCTTCCACCAGGAACAAAGATGATCAAGGCAGTGGCCGTGCACCCGTAAGTTGCCTTTTGATATTGCTGTTGGGCAACGCGGTATCGTTTTGGCTGGGCCACGTGTCATATGTCGCCATAGCAGCAGTTATTGTTTACCCTGTTGTGAATAGCGTTGATTCACACCCCTTAATCTGGTCGTTCCACCTCCGATGCAGGGTCCCCATTTTCGCAGCATGTTGCCAGCCGCGCAGATCCTCAACTCTCCCCTCATTCACACGGATATTTATCCTGGTTTATCCTCAATGTTAGCTCATCGATGACTCACACATCTGTGGTATAAATGCACACGCGCGAGCCCCACATACGGCACAACGACACCAACTTAGTTGAGCTCTGAAGTAAACGGTTGTGTCCACGTCCTCTCTGGTCGTCTTCTACATCGCGGATAGCAAGGAAGCGTAAGCGGGCCATAGTTAAGTCAGTGGCCCCGGCGTGGTTCAGGACCACATTCTGGGGCCCACATCAACCCCATATCACCCATTGATGTATCCACTTTATTGCTACTAGTGCAAACTAATTGAATGAAACTGCTCCTATTTTATGTCATATTTTGTTCCCTCTGTTTCAGAAGCACGAACCAAGAAAGTAATGTTGTGACGAAAACCTTTGAAGTTCTATCGGTTCCAGAACAGCATCACATTGACAAGACTGATACCGGCCCCGGTCAAGATGATTATGATTTCATAAAAGAACTGAAAACCGAGAGGGCATTAGTCAGACAAGTACGTCTAACTGTCTCTACTTTCCTTAGACGCCCAGGAATGAGATTTCGCTCCTAAAATTAACTTGACTCATTACTGTTACTCTAAAATAGCTAATTGTGGTGTGCCAACGACAACAGCAGACAGCCTCTAAAACGCTCAAGAATAAGCATGTGTTTTTGTTTTGCTTAGGCGTCGAGTGGCATTACTCCGCGTTCTTCCAGCAGCGCACGACAACGAAAACCCACAAATAATGGCTCTCGACCAACAGGCTTGAAGCATCCGATACCTAAACAACGGGGCAAAGGTAATCATCATTGGTTCGGTTGGGCATTGTCTTCACTCCCTCGTTCTGTTACTCATTAAAGTTACCTCAACAAAAGCACAAAAATACATTTATGAGCGGGGTTGTGTTCTAGTGGGCCACGCTAAGTCGGTGACTAATTTGATTTCATTAACTAAATCGTAATTTACTTGTGTAAACGCCTTATTCTCCTTGTCATCGTGCAGTTTTCACAATCCTAGGCCGTTCCTCCAGGTAACGCACGTTTTTGCATCTCCATATTTTCAAAATGAGATCCATTTGATCTAACTACTCTTCTTTTAATTGTGCTACTGCTTCGCTGCTTTGACTCAAGACGTTGAAATACTTGCAAGGCCAGGCTACTACAGGCACCTGATTTTGCTCTATGCCGCTGATTTTCATAGCCTCAAACAGTTTTCCCGCTTGCTAGTTTAAATCCATAGTGCGGTTTTCTCTCCTTTCTACTTCATTGCAACATCGCCTAATCTCACTTGATTTCTAAACCGTGCATTTACTCTGTATGTGTGTGCTTGTGCCAATGTTGTGCTGCTGACGTTCGATGGGTTGCCTTAACTCATTCGTTGTCCTACATTTCACATCTAATCCCAAATTTGCTTGTCCTGCTGCCTTTTTATTACATTGTCGAATAATAAAGCTTGTTTGGAGCGTTATTTGCCGCTGGGGACAATGCATGATAAGGTTGGTAATAACTGTGGTCTTAATGTTATCCGGGGTCTTACCTCTTATAGGTGAATCGGAGGAAAAGGAGACATTGGCCGCTGTAAGTCGTCGATCTTGATTGGTTGAGCATGGGCACATCTGATATGGCTTGGAGTTAATTTGGCATGTCTTTCAATTTCGGCTTTTGACCCAACCACTGTGAAAAGTTTTTAACAGATCCCACTTTGTGCGGCTGGAATCGAGGTCACTAGTAGTCAATCTGGCATCCGACATTTTTGACAAATATTTTGCCGTAAAAGGTTTGCACGCACTTGTTTCGTGTTCGGGAATTAAATGTGGCCTGACGAATTCATCAAGCTCTTAATCGGCGAGATTAAAATTATCATTTTTTAATCTCCAACAAATTGATGCCAGTTAGTGCCATTTTAAGTCCAAAACGCTTCACCATGGTCTGCCAGTCTCACACACTATATCGTAGGTCTCCAGTTAAACTGTTTTTGGTTGAATTTCGTAAGTAGAAAACACTGACCCATATTTTGCCTTTTCTTCCATTCTCAAGCCCTACAAACCTGTGTCGAACAGAGGTAAGATCTTTGTTAATAACTGCGTCGAATTATCGGCATGTTCCCTTCACCCACCAATATTCCCCTTTAGGTGAACAGGAATCAGATGAGAAGTGGAAAAAAGCAAACGTTAGTTTTGTTTAATTCTTGACATGTTGACATAGTCCGTGTCAAAATGTCAACGTTTGATCAGTAGAATGATCTCGTAGCTATCTTTGAGTGGCAAACATACGACTCCTCAAATCAGTTGAAATGTCTCTAGGCAGGACACCATTACTTGTCAGTTCTAATTGTTAAATCCAATTATTGCCTTGGCTTCAAACAGAACTGTCTTAAAAGTAGGTCAGGGGTTTTTCCTCTTAAAAAAAACTAAGATACCGGAATTTGGAACATTTTGCCACAAGCTAATGCGCGTTGTTGTACGTGTGGATACGCATCGTACTTGACTAATAGACGGGTCAAAACATGCATCGCCTTTTGCTGCTGGAAAATGAACAAGTCACCGCAAGAAAATCAGCTAATCGGCATTAAAATGTTTTCATCGTATGTGTGTCAGCATTTTTTAATTCTGTGATCGATACGTCCGGTGAGAGTCCATTAATACAGCGAGGTGAATCCGGTTCAAAATGCATAGCAGAGCTTTTGCGAAATATAGTTCTGTGCATAAATAGGGGATCAGACTGATTTATTAGCATTTTGAAGTGAATATGTGATACAGGAAGTGGTTCCTAATAACCTTACTCGAATTAATACCACAAAGTCTTTGGAGGGTGGAAAGTAGCCACAGGAGCTGGCTGTGATTGTGTCAGATCAGATCTGAATGCCTTGACATTGATTTTAAATGTTCACGTCCCCTCATGATTCACAATTATCAGAGGCTAGGAAATTATTCCACAAATTCCAGTTTGAAGCCTAGAATTAAACTTTCTGGAGTGTAGTGAATATACTCTCTAGTTTATCCTGTTTATGTAGTTTGGAAGTGAAACATTCACATCAGTGGAGAACGCTTAAAGCTTAGATTTGATTAAACAGATCTGAAAATGCAAACATCCACATTTACCTCCAATTCTACATGCATGAGAAATACCTTCGACCAGTTTCTAAGGACGCTTCTTGAAAAGCATTGACATCATCAGTGCTGTCATTTGGCTGCATTAATAGCTACGTAAGATCAAGAATTGAACTTGATCCGATCTGTTTGGAAGACAACACGTGGCCTGGTTTTATGTCAGCTAAACTTGCTGCTGGCTGTTCAGTGCATTTTTAGTATTATTTTTTTTCATTTTAGCACCGACTCTCATGGAAGTCGTCTGCCTCAGATTCGTCCGACGACAAAAGTAGAGGGTCTGTGGTCACCCCTGTAAGTTGCCTAGCAGCCAAACTCCGCCAAATTTACGCTCCTTGTCCGCAAATTACTCGCGATCCATGTTGCTCATGAATTTTTTTCTAATCCATTGACTTTGCTAAACGTGATTGTGTTGGTGCTACGGAATAAACGACTAACGATTTACATGGTAAGACCTGAGACGCGGCATTTACCAACATCTTAGTTTGATTGCATAGCGCATGCGTTCCATACTACTATCAGCTGCATTTCGGCGTTAATTTGCAAACTCAACTACGCTACTGTTTCATATTCAGCCGCAAGTGAAGAAAAATTTGGGTCAGGCTTCCAGGAGGATGGAAAGAGAGGAGAGGAAGGCGCCTCGTATAAGCCCTCCCCGGTTTGATCGCATTCAAAGGGAGGTTGACTTGTTCAAGTAGGTCCCTATCAACAATAACTTAGCGCTTTTTTATGCGGTCTGCATTCATGCTTGCATTGAATTGCCCCTAATTCTCGCACTTTTTTCCAATGCTCAATATGGACTTCATTTGGAAAAAAGGGCATTCCGTGCTAGTCTTATTTTGGCTCGCTTAGGAGCGTCACTCAGTTGCTGGTCCTTAATGCGTTTTTTCTTGCCAAGCTGCCCCACGTGTCTATCCGCGAGGCCCGCAGACCCAGCAGCCACCTTCTGTCCGTGCTGTGGAGCTACGCTGCCTCGGCTGCCAATCTCCACCGTCGCGGCACCGCCCAAGTTGGAAGAGTTGGACACGTGCTTCACTTGTGGTTCGAAGTTGGCGGTGGATGAAAAGAAGTGCCTCATCTGTGAAGCCCCCTCAACTCATGCCAACAAGGTACTTTGAGTGTGGCTCTGTTTCTCTTTGAACCGAAATGCGTAAACCAGATTCGAGCTACTTGTGGTGAGAACTTACTTCTTTAAGACACTTGTTCAAGTCCACCAGTGGAGTAGAATCTTATGCTGGTACTGTAGACATACATTTACGGAAATCGACCGTTGTTCACTAACAAAGCCTAAGTGTCTTCATAACTCCATCCCTGTTTAGTTAATTTATCTCAATTTTCTACGAAATATGCGCCGTGGGTTGTTTGACATTTCAGTAATATGTCGCACTCAAGTGTATCGTGCTCTTGATTTTCCAAGAATGCTGAATCCGAAGCCCTGGATCGGCGTCTGTGTTCCACCTGTGGCTCCCTGAACCCAGTTTACGTAAAATCCTGTCTCACCTGTGAGTCAGCTCTGCCCCAGACTGCAGCCAGTCTCGTAAACATTTCCGCTCTCCTCCGAAACAGCGGCAAGTCTTCCGTGCCGCAAGAGAACACGGACTCGCCAGCCAGCCGTCCGGTCGCGAAATGCCGGATTTGCTACCGTCAAAATTCCTTGGGAGCGCGTTTCTGTGACTGGTGTGGCATCCAGAATCCTCACGATGACGATTGTCCAGAGCCTCTTCAAAAGGGCATTGTTTGTCCTCAGTGTTTCTGGCAGACACTAAATGACGCTCATTTCTGCCCTATTTGTGGATTCAATCTTGACGAACCATCCAAGGCCTCTTCGATGTTTAAAGGCACTCACGGTGAGTTTTCCGACATTGAGATAAATTACGGAATGTACAACATTTACCCAAATTTTCAGTGGCTAGTTAAATGTCGCATTCACAAAGAGAAATTATTTGAGATTGAATGTTCCAACACGCCCAGTGTGTTTAAATTTATGCAATTGACCGCCGTCAAAATCTGCCTTGTTTCAAGGTTGAATAAATTATGCCTTAACCACCACTTGTTGCTTCACATGGCTGTAATTGCTTGTGGTCCAATTCGAGTTATTGCGACTGATGCGAAAACAAGGCCATTCCTTCTCACAATTACATCAACCTGTCCTAGATGTAGTCAATCACATTTTACATCCTAACCAACTAATCTTTTACAGTCACATGCGTGCTTAGGTTAGATTGTCTGTGTCATAACTTAGAACTAGACCCTCGTGACCCAATGTCAAATATCTGCTGTCTAAATTAATGTAATCTTGTTCCTGGTAAAACTGGGCCTTGTGAGGTCACGAGACTCACTAAATTTCAGTTTCTCTTTACGGTAAACATTTCCCTCTGAAAGACGACCAGGGTTACTTGGATAGGCGTTTTTATGTATTGACGTTAGTTTACTGACCTTAAAGGGCACTCGGCATGCAGCTCCAAAGCCCAGTCAATCGTCGAAGCCTCCTCGATGGAGTCGTTGACCCCTCGCACCAACAGGAACGTGGGTACTCAAACAGTTGGCCTGTTCTTCCCTAGTGCCAATCACATGAAGGCCGCGGCGGGCTGCAACCAATCGCACAACTCTGCTGAGACTCCGCCGAAGACCCGGCGTCCAATCGTTGCACCGATCAGTCCGGGCAGAGGTTTGTGCCTGAAGAGTTAGTAGTATCTTCTGTAAGACTGGGCTCTCCTTCGCCTACGTGTGGTCTGTGATCAAGTGACTCGCATTTATTCAAATCCACGATTGGAGTTGCCTGGTTTGTGATGCGCGGTAACTTACCAAACTTCCATTTTGTCATCTAGGTATGTGGAGAATGCAACTGGAGCACGTGGTGGCACATTTGAGGGCCTACATCAGAAATAACGTGGAATTTCAAAAGGCTATTGGCGATCCCCGAATGGGAAGGGTACGTTTGGGTTCAGTTCCACTCCCTGTGGAAAAGCAACAACACCATGATTTGCTGTGTTTGTTCTGGAGTAAACCCTTGTTATTCTTCTCGGTAAAAAGATTTCCCTCGGTTCCAACCCAAACAGTAATTTTGTGTTCTCTCACTTAAGAACTCGCGTTTTGTCGTAGCTTGATTCGTTTTCACAAAATCTTTCATCTATTTACTTGCAATCCATGACTGTAATAATGATAATTAACTTATAACTTACTCTATTTTTCGTAGTACATACATCTTTTCATCTTGGCCGTCTCATAGGAAAATTTGCACCGTTTTGTCGCACTGATAGTAAAACTAGATGAAGCAGCAAACCTATTTTCGGAAAGTGATTGTTTGGGGACCCCATCAGTGAGGAATGTATACAAAGACGGACTTGCTTCTCTTTAGATTCTGTGCGCTGGAGTGGAGGAAGACAGGGACGATGTGACTATTTGCGTAACTTTTAAAAGGCATTATCTTAATCCCATGGCTTTGTCTCAAGAAATACAAGAGTTTTCGAGGCAGGAGGAGATTGGTGCGACGACGGAAGAAGAAGACGGCCAAGTAGTAGCAAACACAAGCCGCCCTCGACGGCCAGTCAGTAGTTTTAATAGTAGCAATGCTGCCAGTCAGCCACATCGCAAGCCAACTCCACTTTCTGCCAATTTTCGAAAAAAACTACGCGGTGGTGAGTTGTAGTACTCTTCTCACAAATGCTTTTTCGTGGCAGTGGCCAGTGTGAATTTGAGATGTCTGGTAAAAGTCTAATAAACTGGGATTCCCTCTTTTGATGCGGTGTTTTAATCCTTTTTTTTTTAAAGAAAACATCGACAACAGTGGAACCCAGCAGCCTCGGTTTCGTACTGCAGTGAATCGTGAACCTCTCAGAGCGTTCTCTCCGAATTCATCTTTTAACAAGAGTGCGCCATTGGAAAACCAAACTTCCGGATCACTGGTAGTATACACAAATACCTTTCTTGTTTCTCCCCGCGATATCACATCGCAAATATTTAATTGTTTTAGCGTTTGAATAAGTTGTTAATTGAAGAGCTGCGCACAGGCCACAAAGCGGATGTGGACGTCGTGGCAAGTTTGATCTTTGAGGTGAATTTGCCTTTCTACAGTTCTACACAGTCACTTTCGATAAGCCCTGCTTATAAGAAGCGTCTGTATGTTCTCTAAAGCACAGGCAAACCATGTGGTAGGTCATGTTTCGACCTTGTTACAGGTCGTGCCTTGAAGCCAACAACAGAATCTCTTAATTTCCCATGGGTATCACCTGAAGTGCTTGTTGATGTGCCCGTTTTTTCATAGTAAATTCCTGTAAAGCTTTATCAGCAAGGTGAGCAGGGACCTCGATTTGATTTTATTCATCGTCTTCCCCATCAAAATCGCAGTTTCCCGTGTGATACCGTTGGTGACCCTTTAATAATCCTGTGACTGGGCGAAGCAGCTGTTGGCTTGGGCTTCGTGAAACGCTGATTCGCCATTTGCTGTCTAAATGTCATTTTGTTTCTTAATTAACACGTTGCAGGGAGCTAATCCATCCTGTCTTGCACCCTCGGGCGACCCATTGATAGTAAAGGCCGTTCAATCGCAGCAACTCGAGTCCATCCCCCTGCTAGTTCGTGCCGGAGCTGATGTCAATGCCATCGGGACTAGGTAAATGCCATTAGTTGAAAATTTCCCGCAAAAATCCTACTCACTTTGAAAGCCATTCAATCGGGTATTCTCAACACATCGCATGAAGCAGCTGCAGTGAGACCTCTAGCAATCACTCCATGTTGAACCAACGCATACATCTCGAATCGTGGAATCGCAAAAAATTGCGCAGGCCCGCTACTTTTATAGTTTCGCGTTTTCAACGGCTACAGGACGTTTAGACGTGTCCTCTGTTCACAAAATTTCCGAATACACCGACACTGGTTTCGTGTCCAAACAGGTGAATCTTGTTGCTGGAAGACTAAGCAGAGCTATTTAGCATTCGTCATTTCTGGCGCACGAGGATACATCACTGGTCTTACGATATAAACATGGGTTTACGTGGACTAGCTTTCATCTGGCAGGTATGGAAAACTCCTTTGACAAGCGTAAATTCTCCCTTGTAATGCACCTTATTTGCAACTATGAGGTCTTGAAGTCAACTGTTGAATTTAATCTCGTTCTAAGATTTCACAAGTTGTCGTGTGCAGTCACGGCTGCTGTGTCGTGTGTTTCAGCTTGACCGCTGTTGCTGAGGCCTCTTGGCACATGCAACTGCGTTGTAGCTCTAACCTTGCATTAGATAGCTTGGTGCCTTACCTACAGAGGTTTAATTTGCTCGTTAAACCTTTTTGTCCAGTTTTCGAAAAGCGCCACATAATTTTCCGAAGTCATTTCAGTTGGAACAAATAACTATGTCAAATGAGCGTAGCTCCAAATGTACACTTGTAACTGACAAAGCAGTGTTCTTCTCCAAGGAACTCTTTCTTCAAACACTGTTGACAAACGCGTCTACTAAAATAGCATTTGCAGTATTGAGTACTTTTCTGATGTGCTTTTCCGTGTCAATTCTCTTTGTTTCTCCTATTTAAGAGACGGAAATACGCCTTTGCACGAGGCTGTTCTTCTAGAATCACAGTCAGAGCAATTCGTCAGGACACTGCTCGAGTACGTTCATATTATTCAACTGGGTACGATGTTACATGAATGCATGGCCGATAGATGACAAGGTCATTCTTATTAGTCCCCAGGAAAACCTTATCAGAGCTTTCATATTTAGAAAGTACGCCCATGTTTTGCTCTCAGATCTATGGGCGTTTGATTTGTCGTGGTTATTACACTTGCCCGAAACCCCTGATCCGACGAGCCTCGACAACCAATGGCCGTGAAAGGAAACGTCTTCACAGACGTAACGCGTCCTTTTAAGCACTCTTGTCTTTGATATCTTGTCCTTACACCAACAACTCTCCTTTCGGTTACCTTAGACTGGGCGCTGATGCTAACAAGAAGAACGCCCTGGGACTGACACCTCAGGACCTGGCACTTCGGGCGAATTCAGCATCCGTCGCAGCTGTCATTGCAGCTGGCGAATGCGAATTGGAGAGCTGCGACTTGGAGGCACCGTCTTTAAAGACCTGATACACATTTTCATGCGCACTCACTCACGCCTCTACACGCACACAACGCCTCTCGGTACTGACGGGCGTCGTGTTTCCGTCTGCAATCACGTCTGCACCAATGCCAGCACCATCTTGCCCGGCAGATGTCCACAAATTAATGAACCGATCACACTCTTCTGATAAATGAATGTTGAAAAAGATGTTGCCTTTTTTCCTACATGGAAATGGTGAGTGGTGCAAAGTTGAAATGCCACGCATTCTTGTGAAGTGGAAAGGTTTGATCGGAGGTACTGTTGGTTGGCTTCATGTAACTAAAAGGAATTTTATCTGTGCTTTTCTGGTCACTAAATTAGGTTACATAGCAAACCATCGGGTTGTGAAAACACACATTGGTTTATGACACTTTTTCTGAAGTGGATGACCTTCAACATCCCTTATTTTACACGGTAGACAGCTTCTAATTGTCCCACCAGTTGTCAGTGTCCTTGGCATGAACTAGTGTGCCTTTGTAAGCAGGCTCAGAGGGTGAATGCACACCAAAAATCCAATTTTTACTTGGTTGGTTTTTGTTTGGGAACTTGTGAATTTGCTACCTGACAGAGTGACTTTCTCAGGCCTCAAAAACAGCTTAAAAGTAAAGTGCAAACATGTTTTCGTAGGTTACGGTGCCGACTGCTTATTAAAGGCGTCATTTGTGGTTTTGCGTTCCCTTTTATTAACAATGTTGTTTTAAAAAAAATTCAATTGAAATGTCAGTGAAGTTAAGGGCATGAATACCACTAAACCTCACTGGTCCTTAACTAACATGGGGATCTCTCAGCCTTGTGTCTGTGGTGGAGCTTCTCTTCCCTGCTACTAGGAAGTTTCCTCTGAATCCAAAATCGATTTTGCTGATAAAATAACATTTTATTCTTGTTGGAATTTCTCTCTAATGGTTATCACGAATAGGAGCGCTACTCTTTCTAGGTTACCATGTTTAAACCGTAAGACAGCAACATCTATTACATCTGTAGATGATTTCAGGTTTCTTTCCAGCTAATTAGCCTTTTTTGATGCCTTTTTTAATAGCGCAATCATGCCCTGTGGCAATCTTGCAAGGTTTCATTCCGGTGGCATGTATAACTGATAATAAAATCCTCTAAAGCAGCCTTGACAAATGAGACTCATAATCCTGTCTGTGTTCAACTCTGTGTAGGAGCTTCATTTTGGTGTTCTGTCGTGCTCCAGTATTGCCAAATTTCTCTCACACGTTTGTAAGTTGCATTAAAATATGATGCTTCTGGCAGCGGTGGTAACTGACGCACACCTAGCTTGCCATTGGTCGAGTCGGATGCCATGGGGGTGACTTGATTCTGAGCTTTACATATTCCTAATAATTGTTTTCAGAGGGGAAAGACGGGTTTCGAGTTACATTCCCAACCGCTTTTTGACTTCCTCTGCACTGAACCAAAAATATTTAAGTAATAAGGATTGCTATTTTCACGTGGAGGGAAGATGCTATCTGAATCGGTGACCCACCCCACCACTAGCACTGCTGCCACCACCGTAACCATAGAAACTGTCACTTTGTACTGTTCTTTCCCCATGCTTTCATTACTTCCATTATCTTATTTTGGCGTTTTGCTTAGTAAGGCAGCGGCCCTGCCTTGGTTGCTAAGTGCGTCTGACGTCCGCATACAATGCGAACACACGTTGTGCGAGCATTTGAATAGTATAGGGTTTCTATTAAATGGATGGGCGTAGACGCTGACACGATTGGAGTTGACTTCTCCTAGTCTCTGGGATGTTTAGGTTAAGCTAGCCCCCTGGCTGGAGATAAAGACACTAAAAATTCTGCAGTATAAATCGTGAAAATGAAATGGGAGATATTATTGGCTGTGACCCCAAAATATATGCCGATGCAGAATTAGGTCAAGGCGGCTCTTACAAATGGTTACGGCTCAATACAGATGTCAGGCTATGGAGCTAAAGCCGTGTAGATAGAATTATGATATTAGATTCCTTACCTCCTTTCTGCTTAGATTATTTTAGGTTGACACGAACCAACGCTGAGGTTATTGCCCATTCAGAGTTGAGCAAAACTCTCATGAGAATCTGCTTTCTCGAACAGGAGAGAATCAGTGGTATACTACTGTGCCCTTCTAAACTTACAAATTTTTGCACGACTACAAGTATACTCAATCCTACCTTTTTTTTCGAACTCTCCGAATAAATCGCCTGAGGACCTGTCGCAAAAAATAAGTTTAAACGACTTATCTCTATATCTCGAGGAACGACATAGTGACGTCTGATTAGTTTCCATTATCACAATTTTAAGCAATCAGGCTTGAAAATAAACACACCACAATCAATATCACCGTGGTCTGCGGAAATGGCGCCTATATTAAAGACCTTTCGTCTTCGATTCTGTAACTTATGTTCATAACAAGAAACTTGAATCCACCTGGCCGATGACGTGGTCATGGAAGGCATAAATCAATCTGATATTATTGATTGGCGAGATTGCCAACGCTGACAAAAATAATACTTAATCAACATCCACAAATACGCCAATCTCACCATAGATAGCCTAGAACTGATGCATGAGGTAACTGGCTTTAAAACCCTACAAGGTTTTGTCGGGGTGGAAAAGCGTCTGTCAATTGCGACAACGAGTGTTAAATTAAATTGTCTGAATTCACCCCACGTTAATACCAATGATGCAATAAATATACAGAGAACAACAGAGAAGGAGAATGTTTAATTGCCACGACATAATTACCAACCCGGATGTTAACAATGCTTTAGGGATTAGAGATGAAAGTAGCTCATTTTTTTTACAGAAATAAAGGACATAACTATATCTTAAAAACAGGATTTATTTGTTTGTATTCGACATGTCAACATAAAAGCTTTTATTGCACCACTATATCACAGGGTAAGCAACAAACATAGTAGGTTGCTGTTACTCTTGTCAATTCAGGCTTTGATCTTCAAAAAATGTTTGAGGGACCTCTTCCTAAACAATAGTAATGATTTTAACAAGGAGTAACAACCTCTTGAAGCATATCCTGGGCGTCGATGACAGCCATTATATTTCTAGACCCTGATTCTTGAACTTCGCCAGCAAATAGATATTCGTCAAGAATAAAGTAAGCTTTTTCGAAGTGGAAAATTATATCAAGTTCACACACCTATTTACCGAAACATCAAAAAGATTAGTGACGTACATTTCCAAAGTACTTGTCAAGTATTTCAACGTACCGATGAATAATTTCCAGGGTCAGCAATTCATTATCGCCGGGCTCAATTGCACAAAGGAAGTATAGACTTGCATATCTGACCTAACGTTTGCACGACACAACAGCATACCTTCTATAAACTAATTTCATATCCTTCCACTCAAGAAAGGATGACATTTTTGGTTTCCGAGCAAGCACAACGGCAATGACTTCGCGCAAAATCTTCTTTTTGTCTTTCTCGGAGTATGAGACAAACCACTTCTGCAACCGAACTTTACCTTGACGGCTAAATAGTGCCAAAAAATGAATCATTATAATCAAGGCTGGCTAAGTTTTGACTAATGACATCCAGTTCTGCAGGAAATTTGCAACCGAACAGTTACCAACCCAACTACTATGAATGTGCGCCAAATTATTTCAAACAGAAGCCGCAGGACCTTATATCAATACGTCCTCAAATAACGATTTAAAACAAGGACAATTAGATAGGTCCTTTCAAAAAATTACTGAATGTATCATAGAGTATCAGAAATTGTAAAGTCTGTAAGTGAGCCACATTCATCTTCAAACTTTATTTAGATAGTAAGAATATCGTTTTAGATTAAACTGCCAAGTTTCCTCAACAGAAAATCTGAAATAGAAGGTCAACTTTTCTGAACGCAACAACTTCGTGGTATAGGTACGTCGGCCTTTCCCAAAACTTGTGTATGTTGTTAAAATAGTTTCACGTGTGATGTACTGCATTAAATAATTCAAAATATGCAAGCCCACCTCCTGCTACTCTGGCACAAATTGGGGATGAATTTAAGGTATACAGTTGACTTAATTGTTTGCTGTTGGCCAGTATAAGACTTGGCTATTTGGAGTTTATTATCACAGTTGCACATCAATGGCCAATAAAAGTATGTCTATTTTCTGGTTAAATAATAACTTACCCGACTATTGCATCGACATCTTCTCTCAAAGGTGTTAAGTCCTGCCATAAATTGAGTGAGGCCTTTGCCGTGCTGTAATTTATCATTTACAAAAAGTGCAACAACTTTTTTACGATTCATGCAAAAAACTATTGCGTGACTTTAAACTATTTCCCTAGTAGATTCGAACAGCCGAGAGTACCGCACTACAATCTTAACCATGATTATATTTAAAATTTAGTCAATGAATAAATGATTGGCAATGAGCACAATTTACCACTTTTGAATTTATTGCATTATTTAAATCTAATTAACTTTTAAGTAAGCATTACTTTTGATTTTTATAATAACCACGGAACTCATAAATCCATCTAATGTGAATTCTAGAATGTAATACATAAAGTACTCGTTAGGAGATATCAAGGGCTATCGTAAGGTTACTTGAGAGTAGCTTCCACGTATACAAGCCAGCTGAACTTTCTTTTAAGAAAAAACATAGAATTATTGTTTATAAATGCAACTAGAGGATGAATACACAATTATGTGTCTTCAATATCTGTTGAATTATGAGGAGTTATATAATTTAGATGCAAATTTACCTGTTTTTTAGAACTCTATTATGTGAAAACCTCGACTCGACGTATTTACCTCTAACACGTTTTAGGCTGAAGGATGCAGGACGTTTTACGTACAACCGTTTAAAAAACACAACGGCACACACATTGACGAATATAATATATAGAAATTTCACATGAATTAAGCTGCTGACTTTAAATTAGCTTGCTGGGGGATAAATTTAGCGTGTCTTAGAATTGTAAAAAAGGGTTAGTCCAAAACGCTTTCAATCGGTCACGTAAGTATTAATAGGCTGGAGCTACAATGGCATTTGATAGCTTTGTGTTGATAATTCCAGAAGTTTTACGAAATTAATGCGGTGCTTACGAACCAGGGTGAATGGCTACGTATTTTATAGGCATAATTTGGTGTTTAAAAATTTTTAATTTACTTCATAGACTTGAACTTGGCGTACTGGCTCAGAAGGAAATTCGTCTCAAATAGTGACGTAGACACTTAAAAGCCCATAAATAATTACATAAATCTTGTACTAAGCTGCTTTGTAATTGCGCCTTTAGATGCGCTAACTTTGTCATATGAAGTACAGAATATTTGACATTTAACGAAAATTAAAATGTTGACTAAATTTTGTTTTGTTCCTTTACATTTTAAGCGAATTTTTGAGTTAGGTGGCACGCGGCTTGTAGATGGCTAAAAGCAAGCGTAGTAAGATTAAGAGGAGCTTTAGGGCTGTCAAAAGGCACAAGGCAAAACCAAAAGCGACTAATCTTCTTAAGAAGGTTATAAGTCTACCTATCGGTGGAACAGGCTTGCCTTACGTCGACGCGTCAAAAGCGGAATCGATCGAGCCGCCAAAAATAGAGGGTACATTGCTTCTTATTAAATGTTAATTTGTTAGTTGTGGAAACGAAAACAACTAAGAAGCGCTATCCTCTCATGAATGAACACGGGAACTATCCTATTTGGATGAACAAAAAGGAGATGCGCCGACATATTGCCCAACGAAAGCGAGTACTCCGGAAAAAACGGAAAATCAAAGTTTAGATTGATATTTTTGTAACCATGTAAATATGATTATCGAATACAGTATCACTTCTTTACTGACTGATGTTGAAGGCATGCTGCCTGTTCTTGTCCCAAACAACTGGTGAACCCACGTATGTCCCAATCGGGTAAATGTAAGCAGTTTGGTGAGGTTAGTACTGTTTGTGTTATAATTATTAGTGCTAAAGTTAAACTCTTTTAGGTTTGGTGGTAGCCTTTTTCGGTTTCTTGCGTACGTTCTACCTAGATGTAGGGTTTATACTTGAGTTCTCTGACATCTCTTTTATCGTAACCGTGATTTGCTTCCACCGATGCATGGACATACTATTGCTTCATGGTGATATTTTATGGTGTAGATGTTGGTCTATGATAATAAGAATGTTCACTTTAGATAACGCCGGTTGTAGGCTACGTTGCTCTTCGGTGGCAGATGCAAACTAGTGTTGTAATTTCCGAGCAGGATTCGTTGCTGCCGCAACATCCTAGCCTATGTTTAAATTTCGTGACCCGAGTAACCTACTGCTTGAACCAAGTGTTTGGCCATCTTATCCTCTTGATGCCGGGACCAGACAGCAAACCAAGTGTATTCCAAATATAAGAGGTAAAACCGTTTGGTGGGAGCAGGATTCAAACTTGATTTTTCGTATACGGTCTGCTCTCTGACTGCCGATAAAGAAGTATACCTTGAATATTGAATTCACAACGATAACGTCTAGTAACCAAGTCCTTAAGCATTCATAGTGGCTTGGGGTCATATGTGAGATATCGATATGGAGAAAAACCGCAACTAGTCACGTCGGTGAAGTAGCGACGAAACCAAGTTCATATGTTGGGCAGACCTGGCATTATTGTGACTAAGTTACATTGAACCTTGGGTTTGTGGACAAAATCCGGGCAGTTATGACAGACATTGGGATAAGTATTCGATTTTGGTGTCTTTTATACAATGCCCTACAGTACTGAATCATTAAATAGAAGGAAGGTCGACTCAGTGTTTCAGTCCAAATTAATTAAATCCGACAAGTTTTCATTGCCCCCTTTTAGTCCAACGCCCTGGATTTTTCGGCAAGCCTTACTTGTTGACTACATCGCTACTCACATTTTATAAGTACCATTCTACTTGCACGTGGATTTCGGGCTTGCTGTTTAAAAAGGACGCCGGTTGTAGTTAAGGTGTTAGATGTTGCGCCAAGACAAGGACAACATGGACGCCAACAGTCAAACACATGAACTGAGCCTCTGTCATTATCAGGACAGACAAATAGGGATGCTCAACCGTCCTGAGGCAACAACAGATATCGTTTTCTTTATGTAAGGGCATCTTTTGGAAACTATTGCCCTTTTTTCAGCATTGGTGAAATCGGTGGTGTTTTTGGGTGGTAAATATTGGTAAGGCATGAGGGTATCGCGCCAGTCGCCAGCAAATGTGTGCATTTACAATGCCAAACCATCTGAATTGCAGTGTAGTAAGGGTACATGTTCATCTGCATTCAACCTGTTAATACGTGTTTTTTTTTTATACAAAAATCGATTCCAAGTTGATAAATTGCATCATCAAGTAGTGTATGTGTGTCTCTTGATAAATACCTGATCCTTTTGGTCCTCTTATGTAGGCTGTAGTGAATCGTGCTAATCACGCTGATCAGACGCCGCGCCGAGCCCGTCTGATCATGCAACCGTGCGCGCACACCTCTTGCCACGTACTACTTGCAAATTTACTAGTCTATTCGATTTCCATTGGTTGACAGCGACGGTTAGTCATATGCCTTGTTTGCGCATTTACGACTTGCACGAGGGCACAACTACTCAACAGACACATGAGCGCACGTACGGACAGGTCTATCAAGACTGTCATTTCACGCCACGGCGCAAGGCTTTAAGGCATCTTGGTGCAAAATGACGCTAATTTGAATCAAGGGTGATGTGTGCACCACAGTGGGCACATAAGAAGCTATCAGCTGTGTTGGGTATTCGCTTAAGTGGGTGAAATACGGATACAGCAAATTGGTAACAGCGCATAAGGTAAATCTCACTTTTCAATCTGGACTTCGCGTGTGAGGGACGAGCGGGGCAACATCGCACTACCGAATGCCAATGAAATCCTGCAGTTGCGCCCAAACGATGCGCGCACACGTGCCACGACTTAAATGTGTGGCAGTGTGTAAGTGGATTTGCGTTAAATCCAAGCTACTGGGCAGCCCTTGATGTTGCCTAAATCGACTGATTCTAATTCCCTGTTTTCGGTAGCATCTCTACAATGCACCGAGACACATGGACTGGTAGGTTTTGTAATGTGGGGGTCACAATTTTTTGCTTTAGTAAGCCCCGTAATTAAACTGTCTTATCAAGTAGACGGTCAATTATCCGCGCATTAAACTCCACCAGGTAAGCAATAAAAGTGCCACAAGGCGGCTCTCCCTCTTGGTTCCTTTGTAGTGGCTATTTTGACGTGATAGCTGCGTCTTTGAGCGTACTCCGTTATTTAAGTCCGTTTTCAGTAAGCACTAACGTAAACTTAGTGTACCAGAGCCGGGGCATTTCGCTTTATAATGGGTGTGTACACAAAGTCACTGACAACAATTAAGGTGGCATGAAGTGTTAAACTAGGGCAAAGGGCTCACTCCGCATCGATGTTTGCATCGTACAGTGCGCTCAGTTTGAGCCTAATTTCTTTAAACTCCACGAGCCAAAGTCCGAATCTTGTCATCCTACACGGTGACTTGGATCATACGATAGCTTAGCCAGTGGAAGTTGTGCCTATTTGTGGCTGACATAGTAGGTAAGTTATGTGCGCTAAAAATGATGGTTTTTTTTAGAAAATCCTAATCTTAGAGGCATCATCATTACTCGGGCTGTCCAATTGTACCGTCCCAAATCCATAACTGAGTGTGATTAATCAATGCTGGTTGCCTTCTAGCAATAGGTATGATTTCACGTTCAAACACACGTCATTTTAAAAGCAATGCGAACCTTCATACCTAGTCAAATCTCCTTTCTTTACTATGCCTTACAGACAACTTTTGTATTATGGAAATGAAATTAGGTACGGTATCAAAGAGTAAGCAGCAAAAGGCAAAAATCTGATCCAGTTGTGCTTGAAATAAGGATGCATTTGGATCATCAGATTCGATGGAAACCGATTTGAAGACTCGAAAGCGATGGAGTTGAGCATCTCTTACACATGGGGACACTTAACGAATCAGTAGCACTCCCATGAAATCGTCGTGATTGGCTGTTTCCGCCCTAATTGCCTTCATTAAAATTTAGTACTGACCACCAAATGTCTAAGTGCAGAGAAAGTATAGGGATGTTTTATAATGACCAAATTGTGCTACTAAGGGCAGCCATTACTTTTTTAAATTTTGGAAAAGAAATGTGCAGTAAAATTATCGATCGCCAGCGTTTTGCGATTCAAAATAGACACGATCTTGTTAAGGAACAAGTCTAACGCTAATGCTGTGAAGCGTTTCGCGATTTGTATTTTTTTTTGAAAAAAAAACGGCCTACACCTTGGCATTTGCAAGCCTCAGAATAGTTCGGACATCACTAAAATTCCTAGGATATCCACTGTTTTGCTAATTATTTCTGCTGTTTTGGTCAGTAGTAAGAAATTAGCCTATGGTAAGTTGCTGAGGTGCTAGCCAATCAGCGCAGCGGGTTGGCTTCGGTCACCGCTATCCCGACAGACGACTGGGCACAAATCCGGGTGAAGGCACGCTTGGCCGGACAATCGCTCCCGCGCCCCACCCATTCGACTTTTGTCTATCCGGACAAGCCACCCCAGAATGTCGAGGTTACGCAGGCTTGTATTCTCACTGCCCCTACGCACAGGGGGGACACCAAACATTGGTAGCAGCCGGAGCACCGTTCTTCGGGATAGCGTAAGTAATTTGCAGGTGAATGTTTACAAAGTCTAACGATGTAGTTGTGCTTTTTTGCGCTGGATCCAATTTTGGACAGATTGATTTAGAATAATTAGTTTAATTCAGTGTTTGGTGGATTTACCAGAACGCTATTCACACCAGCATGCCTCCATCATGCAATCTTGAAAAGGAATCGATCAATTTTTTTTAAATTTAAAGTGCTAACAAAACGGGTCTTGTCTACAACCAAGATGGCTGATGCACTAACCACCAGCATAATTATTGTCGCATACTTAACATGTAATTTCTGAGTAGCAAAAATTTCTTAAAATCCCCAGGATATTAATGAGCGAGGAAGTACCAGTCGAAGCGACCAGGCCAGCGGTGGACATGGGAATTTTGCCTTCTCCGTTGGACTAATTTTATCCTGCCTCGGCTGTGTGTTAGGAACTGGCAATATATGGAGGTTTCCTCGTATCGTCGCAGTTGCCAGTTCTGAGTCAGGTGAGAAGCAAATGTTCATGACCTTTGTGAAAAAAATGTGGTTTTTCTTAGTTATAACTTAAAAAACCTTCCTTAAAGTTGGTACCAGATTCTCAGCGTTTTTCAGCCATCTCAAAATTGACAGAAATATGAGCAATTAAGAGTTCAGAAATGGCAAAATTTCGTCCGTGTTACCCCACAAAACCTGAGTTCAGAGACAACGAAAGGTCTCTGATCAAAGTGAATCTTTACTTACATGATTTTTAGGAAGTCTAACCTTCATCTTAGCATGGCTCTTCTTCCTCTTCACGTGGTCAGTCCCACTGATCATAACAGAGTACACCCTCGGAAGATTTACACGCGGCTCTCCGGTCGTGGCATTCTACAAGTTTCTTGGTAAAAAATTCATTTGGGTTGGTGCCTGGGTCACCTCCATCTCTTTCCTTATAAGGTACTCTTTTTGACAATGCTTCCGAACCAATGAGAAGGCCCCTTAGGCACTAATTACTCTTTCGTGTTACAGCGCCTATTTCTCAGTGGTCGTTGGGTGGTGTTTCTACTACTTTTATGTGGCTTGTGTGTGGCCCCAACTTCCAACCACCGAACCGGAGAGTCGGCAAATCTTTGACCACTTCACCGTATGTCATGAGGATTCTCTAGGCACACCGCTTTCGAGTCCCCAAACCACTAATTAATAGAACTGTTGATTCGCTTGCTTGTAGCGGACGTGCTGGCCCCTCTTGACGCACACGCTCTGCCTCGTGATTTGCGGGATCGCCGTGTTCAAAGGTGTCAGGGGCATCGAAATAGCCAACAGTTGTCTTGTGCCAGTTCAACTTCTAATCGTCATCATCGTCTTCTATTGGTCCGTTTTTCGTGAATACGCCGACGTGGGGATACGGTTTATGTTTACTGCCGACTGGTGTAAGTGGCTCTGTTGATTATTTTTCCATCCTCGGTGTGTTGCATGAAGCAGCAGGAATGTGTAATTTTTCATGTGCAAAATAATGAATGCATGTGAAGAATTAATCGCCTGGAAGAGGCCGTTTTTAGGTCGCTAGTAGTCAGTTCCGAGGTAATTATTGCAGTGACAGTTGCTTTGATGGCAATTTAATCTATCACCCAAGACGATCGGCAGTGCTGCCTTTTTTTATCCAGCCACATTCCTGGACCCACTGATCTACGTGGAAGCTGCCTGCCAAAACGCCTTCGACACTGCCGCGGGGATGGGCGTTTTTTCGGCTTATGCTGCCTACTTCAGCAGGAAAACCGGTGCTGTTCGATATGGTGTTTTATTACCCATATTCAATAATCTCGTAAGGTATGAGTTGCATTTAGGTTGCTCGTTACCGATTCATCGAATTTCAGAACACTTGCTAATCGCAATTTTGATTAATAAGAATATGGACCTAGCAGCTGTATAAGCGTTCATCGTGCATGTGGTTTAATAGCCTCTGATGTGGGCTCTATTTGTGCTCAGGTCATGTTAACACCAATAGTCGAAGCCACCCGGCCCACTTGCAAAATACAATGCCAGTTTTAAAAGTGAGAATGAATATAACCTAGGCGTTTACGAAGTCGGCAATTCAACACAAACTGCATGGTATTTGCCCTTTAGCGTCCAACACAAGGGAGTGTGCGTAGACATGCAGCGGCATCCACCCGCGTAGCGACGTTTATGATAAATAGGGTACTATCCTATTCTATTTGACTACCCACTTTTCTTATTCAGCTTAACATGTGGTCTGACCATTTTTGCAACAGTTTTCTCAACCCTCATCCAAACCTCGCCGACGCTCACCATACCGCAGATTGTCGCCCTCATGAAGGAGAGCGGTCCTGGTAGCACCGGCCTCACGTTCACGTGGTGAGCACAGCCAGGGGCTTATTTGCTTGCAGTTGTACAGTGATTTTCTGTCTACACGTTTAGTAAGCATTGATGCCAGCATCCGTAGGTGCTGAATTTCGTTCAAATATGATCTAGTATTTCAAGAAGTGGGTTAACTTGTTAGGTATATGTGGCAGAATGCAGTAGAATTACGGGAAAGCTGTTGACTTATCAGCTTGCGGATTTGCATAAAACTAAGATTAAGAATTTGCCCTTCAAGATTTATTTCTTGCCAAATAACTTGCATACTGTGCTGTTTAGTGGGTGTAGACGTGGAGTAAGCAGAAACTGATTAATGCAAATACACCCTTCTTCTGTTAGGATTCCCGTGCTGATGTCGAAATTGGGAGTCATGGGAAGGATCTTGTGTGGCCTGTTCTTCCTCTGTCTGTCGTTCGCTGGCGTCAGCTCAATGATTGCCTACATTGAACTTACAGCAAGAACCATCCAAGACTTTGGTGGTATGTGATATTCGCGTATTCATAGTGCGCCTATCGGTGATTTGCAGTCGGATGAAACATTAGTGATTGGCGGTTTGCATTTTTAGTGAAACGAATCTGGGCAACATCAGCCTCGTTGGTGATAACATTTCTGGTGGGCGTCCCTTCGGCCGTCAGCATCGAAATACTCACGAATCAGGTAAATAAATGTTCCTGGATTTAGGGGGTTTTGTGAGACCTAATTGTGCCAGAATAAGTCTGCTCAGACTTCAACTGAATCTTTGGGATTTCGGACTGTATGGTTAGTATCAGATAAAAAAAATGGAATTTCACTGCGTGTTAAGCATTCTAGATGACTTGCGGTAGGTTGTAGGATTGCGATCTGGATTTACCGACGACCGTTAAGGCCAACTTTCTTTTAGGACTTTGTGTGGGGATTCGCACTCATGATCTCTGGCCTGTGCTATTGTGGCCTCGTGATTCACTACAACCCCCTCCGATACCGCCAGGTTATTGTCAACGAGTTTGCCATTAGCGACTGGCGACTTCCGACGATCTGGGTCTTCGTAATGGTGTAAGTTGTTTACCGCTTTATTTGTTTACATAATTGTCTTGCCTACTAACCAGAACGAATTGCTCGTAGTGTTCTCTGCACGATAATTATGCCTGAGCTGTGTCTCTAGACAGAGTACTGTTCCTCAGGCAATAACTCGTCCATTTTGAAGGTTAAGGTGAACGCAAGGCCAAGACATATTTCCTCACTTACATTTCGACGTTTTAGTGTAGTTGTTCCTATTGAAGCGATTGGTCTTATTGTTTGGTGGGCCTATCAGAACATCACTACTACCGATTGGTACGTCATAAAGGTGGAATCACTGGCAACTACCTTCATCGAAGTAAGTGATTATGGCTTAATCCAAGCCGGTTGATTATCCTTTACGCCACGTATTCACAAAACTGTCAGCCTCACTGATTTACGAGCATGCTAAAGGTTAAAGAGGTCTCGCGCTACCAATGCACCTTTTTTGCAATTTAGTGGGCAATCCTTGCGATCTTGCTGGCTGGACTAAACCTTGCTTTCTTCATTTGCAAACTCTCCTTGCTGAATTCGTCAACTGAAATCGGCTACGATCCATACCGCCCCGAAGATATTCCGCCAGCCCTGGAGTACGAAAGGACCCGTGAAATTCCTATTTATCCCAATGGCTACATTTCTGACGACATTGCGACCTTCAAATCACGTCCTTGACGGCTGCGCGCCTAGCTGTATTCTTGATAATAAACCATCTAGTCTAGTCACTTGTCTTCTAACGACAGACTTTCTGTGAACACGGTAACATGCATTTTACCACTTATAATGCCTAAATTGACTAAATTACCTGTTTACACACTCGAAACGTTTTTTGCAAATTGCCAGACCAAAGCTTTAGACTTCGGGCAGTAGTCGTTTCTTTTTTTCTTGTTTGAAAATCTATTGCTTTGAAAGAATGCTAGCTGCAAACACTCATCATTGCGGATTTCTGGTGCATTTTGCAGTGTTAGGTGCTCTGAAAAAAACGACTTGGTCGGTAGACTCAGACACGTTTCTCGTGATCGTGAGAAAATCTACATAAAAAGCAATTTTTTTCTAATCACAGAGATTCACGGTCTTTACGAGTCAAACAGTCGCATTGAAGCGTTGGTGTGGCATTATACCCCAAAATACACTCGAAAGAAATCTGATTGTTTGATACTCTTAAACACGCCGCTCCCTTACTTGACCTGATCCATTTGGTGAAGTCGAAATGCTTCACATAGTAACGCAGTGAATCTTGTTAAAATTACTTGTGGAAAAATGGGGAAAATAGTAGTTCCATCGCCGGTTCACGGAAAATTGTGGTCGAGTACTCGTCAATTGGCTTGATGGATTTTGCTCTCACTTATTACAGCCTCAAGTCCATATTTACGGGTTGAATTAGTAGGTGGGTATAAAGGGCCAATGCTCTGTTTAGGCTGATTTAGGTCTGTAAAGGAAATTTTTTTAGGCTTTTGCCACACACATTTTGTAAATCCCTTCACCTATTGTGAGAGTCTGCGCAGTAGCCTACTTCTTGTGTCAAACTGCAAGAAATATCTGCTATAAGTAGAGGTTTTACGTGATGCTCTTACATATCTAATACAAAACCACTTGACAGTGAGGTGTGCAAACGTCCTCCACACAATGATTGAAGGGTTAAGTTCTGTGAATTTGCGTGTACGAGTCATGCTTTGGAGGTGTGAATCGGCAGACTAGTGAAGGGTCATTGTCTGTTAGAGTTTAGTGTGGTTATCCAATTGGAATCCACTAAAAACAGACAAACAGATCCAGAAAGGTCTAGAAAAATAATACTGAACTCAAGTTGGAAACTAGAATTGGAATCTGCGAAAGTTCCAGGACTTGAACAAAGATAATAAAAAAAACGAATGGAAAACAATGCATCTATTAAAAAAAATCTGTTCTTGTTGCTTCTGGTGAATGTGCACCTTTATTGTGTATTTGCTTATTTATGGGAGAGAAGGATGAAAATTTGAACATCTTAAATCAAGTTTTGAAGTGTGAGCTTTACAGCAAGAGCCAACGTTTTTTGCTGACCGGTGCCTCTATGCAAGAGTAACCTCAACGTGGTAACCACATGAATGCTATCCGCATTCCTACCAAGTGACTGGGGTATTCCCTTAGATTTTGGACAGTGGAACTCACCTGACCGCCACCTCACCAACTCGACCTCTCTCAGTCAGCTGATAGTTACAAAGAGTGGAGCATTTAGTGGCTATGAAATTGCTTCCCTCTGTCCTTAGAATCAGTGACACGGTATGCAATATAGCTTGATTATGAACCCAAGTGAAGGAGTGCCTAATAATTTATCGATTTTAGAGCGCATTCTGAATGCCAATCCCACCGATATTTGGTTTTAAAGCAGGAAGCAATTACATTACAACTCGCATTGCTCATAAAAAGTTAATTTAACCAAAGAACTCAATCACCGTATCAAGCATTATGCGTGTACGCCATTGTGGTAGCCGCGTGAGAGTTAACGCATAGTACCAGGTAGATTGTCATTCTTGTGGAACCAATAAAAGGTAACTTATTTTTAATTGACAGTTACTGAATATGTGCGATTTAATTTTTATGAAACACCGATGATGTTGCTATAAACCAAGGCTGTTAAATTGCCTTTTTTAATTATTTTGGGCTTTTAAAATAGTGATGTGATTCGGTTTCTCGGTATTGGCTGCTCAGTTCCTAAACCTGAGTCTGAAATCAACAAATTAATAAAATACAACTTGAGACGTGTTAAATCGATGAGAAGACCCAATATCAGCAGTTTCTACCACGGTATAAGGAGTTTCTGTACGTTGGTAAAGGTTGCTTTCTTGATACATTGACCAGCTAGCGAAATGAGAAATTACGAATTTGGCCCCCTGGAATTAACCCAATCAAGTGTAAAACCCAGTTTAGCAACCATGGCAACCTAAAACCATAATCATGCTTAGGTTGGGGTGTGGCCTCACCAAATACACGAGTGCAGATTTAGCTCAAACAATCTTGCAAACAGCCAATCTGGGCGGTAAACTGCCTTTGGCTTGGTCATTAGTAGTATAAGATATACACGTTTATTTCATTGAAGTTAGCGTCAGGAGACATGTATTAAGTCTCATCGTGACAAATAACTACTGGAACACCCGGTGTCAGCTTTTTTTCAGACAAAATGTGCCTTAAAGTTTCTCCTTAGACTCCTACTGTTCAAATATCTAGGCTTATGGCATTTGCGTAGCCGGCCAATGTGCCCAAAAACGAATCGGTCTTGGGGAGAAATAATCGCTCATTAAAAAGCAGTCTTTGACAGTTGTCAGCCGAGTCAACCATCGTGAATTAAGCTAGTTTGCATCTATCATCTCCATCTGTCAGTTGTCCCGCCTACCCACACCTGCGTAATTAATGGACCAGATTGCTACCTAGTCAGTTGTCTCAGCTCTGTTGACAAGCACCAACTCCAGTCGTTGCCTCCTTTGTACGCGTCTTCGGTTTAGAGGTAGCTGCAAAACTTTGCCTGGTCCACCTCGGGAGCGCTTGAGTTGTCTTCTACTCTAGTCTCATGGCGTACATCGGAGTTGCTGCCTATTGTACCGAGGCTTCAATAGCATAGAAGCAGCTCAGAGTAAAAGAGCCGTCAAAAATCCATTTTAAGTGTTTACTGAGATTTGTATGAAAACCTAGCAGGACATTTACTCTTAAAATCAAGGTTTTAGCATCTTACTGCCCGTCAACTCCACATAAGTGCGTAATTTAGAAAAGGTATGGAATACAGAGGATGGAGCAGATCGGTCAAAGCAATGCAATTTCGTATAATTATCCTAACTGCTCCATGCTTGCTAATATAACTCAACTCCTCACCATCCCTTCCAAAGAGGAAACTTCACATACCCATAAGTCATTTCTGTAAATTAACTCCAAACAAACTGCTAAGTTTCCTTAACTGAGATTCTTAAGGAAACTTAACACAAAATTTATTCTTAATATCAGAATTTTAGCTTTTTTACTGCCCGTCAAAATCACACAAGTGCTTAATTTAGATAAGGCATCGAGTGCAGAGGATGGATCGAATTGGTCAAAGTAATGCAATTTTGCATAATTAGTTAAACTGTTCCATGCTTGCTAATATAACTCAATTCCTCACAATCCCTTCCGAATGAAGTAACTTCACACACCCAAACGTATTTTCTGCAAACCAATCCCACTGTTAATGGGCAATCAAAATCTTTTCTGGACCAAACGAACTGGCTTTGGGTGATAGTTGCCAAGTTCTGTTGAATATAGGTCATCCTGTGGGTACAATTTTCCCAGGCCTTAGCACCAGTTCTGACCAACTGGTGCCTGCATTCCCACCTACCACCACGTGCATAGCCTTTATAATTGATCCTTCAACCTTGAAACTATAGGCACATGCACCACTTTCGTCAAATGAATTAGGCTCATGTCACTTAAATGTGTAGGTTGTTACGTTTCTTGAAGCCGTGGTGGGCGGTAGTGGCTGAATAACTGGAGGCACCATGAATTACTACTGTGGTAGTCGATTCTCTAATTTCACTACGTGATGGATTAAGTGGAAGGAAGCAAGAAACAAGTTTTGATGGAAGATGTGACAATTGCACGTAAGCCTCTGTGGTTTTCTGAAAGCTTTATTAGACCCCTTGGAAGATACTGGTTTAGAATGTCAAGTTTCGGCATTAACTGATAAAAAGGGTTGTTTATTAACGAGTTTTGAACTGGTGCAGGAATACTCGCAAGTTGATGGAGCCAGTTCTCGGTGCGATGATAACTCAAACAAGTCTCGTTCAGTGTGAGTGCTTCATTAAGGAAGAACACATAGATGGCGTAAAATCAAGTTATGAACAAAAATAGATGTTGCTTAGTTAAGTGTAAGATTTGGTTGGAATATATTAAAATGCATTGTGCACACAAATTAATATAAATACCTCAATATACTGTTTCCTGTGTGGGGGCAATAAAATAAAAGCACATGCCACTGGACGCATTTTTAAAACCTTGTTTCCTCCACTTCGTTGGCGTCACTTCTCCACACAATCTCACCCCTGCTGACATCTCTCCCGCGATCTTCTTTGTCACTACTTTTGGTTATTTGAGTAGACCAGACCAGACTCTCATCGTATGGCGGAATCGTTTCAGGGTGGTAGGGATCGTAGCCAACCCCTCCAGAGTCCTTCAGCAAGTCCCTTTTACAAAAGTAGGTGATGAAATTCAGGCCACCCAGGAGAATAAAAACGACGGCCCACTACAAGAGAAAAGGAAAACAACGGTAGATGACGAATGAAACAACGAACCCGAGTTGAAGTTGCACACAATTTTATAGGTGCTGACAAGGTCCTGAAAACCAAAGAAAGGTGGTAACTACGTGAGGCATTTCTTCTTCAAAACTAAACTAACATTATCATTTTTTAAACAGGTCCTTTTGGAAATGACTCGCCTTGGAATATCTGATAATAGTTTTTAAATGACCATATTTTTTCGAATCCTGTTTATGGAAAAGACAAATCTAGTCTCTGATTGAGTTAAGTAGCTGGAACTCGACGGACCTGCTGTTTTCCAAGTGTCTTGTTGACAGCCTTAAAATAACCAAATCAGTTGCAAAGTCGTGCTATATTTAGGGTGATCGATTTCTAAATCATAATCTAGTTAAAAGGGACTTTTTAAGGACTTAAGTCAAGGCATTAGGTGCTTATGCCACACCAGACTAAAGTTAAGAGTTGAACAGCAGACTTCAAAAACAGACAAGATTCAAAGAAGTTATTATCACGTCTCACCTCAAGAACAGTTGTGGCAAGTGACTGGGCCTTAACAATATACCAGTCTCCATTCTGGGAAATATTTTGATAAGCCCACCAGCAGATAAGACCGATTGCTTCGATGGGTACAAGTCCACTACAAGGAAACGGAAAATTTTGGATGACTTCTGGTGATTTGTGAGGGGAAACTCGTTGCTGTATTAAAATGTTTCATTAAAAAGCTCTTGTTGAAGTTTGTTTAATATGATATTAATTTAAAACTTTACTTTGCCATTCATTTATGACTTCGTCATTTCCTTCTTCACCAACCTGATTAACAAATGCCAATTCTGCTTAAAACCCAGCAACCTTCACGTCAATCGAGCACCACAAACACTTGGAAGCTTAGAATACTGAGTTTTGGGACTACATAACAATAAAATGCAGCAAAGCCTGTGCATAGCGCCAACTTACGCGATCAGAGCGATCCAAATAAGAGGGAGTTTCCAGTCGTTCAGGCCGAAATCATTCACTATCACTTTTCGGTATTTAATTGGGTTATAGTAAATAACAATGGAACAGTAGAAGAGGCCAGATATCATCAATGCGAATCCCCACACAAAATCCTGTGGTGGAAAAAAGTAATATTTTCAACCACATATTTAAGAGATTTTCGAGAGTCGTAGGTGGTATGTCCACAAGAATAAACATTAAACCAATTTTAATACGACACCTACCTGGTTTTGCAAGACATCAATGCTCAGAGCCGAGGGAACGCCAGCTAAAAAGGTAATGACCAGAGCGGCCGTGGTTGCGTACACGCGTTTCACTAAAACAGAAGAATATCAGGTTATGGGGGTTCGGCGATGGCTGCAGTTCAAGTAATCACTATCTGATATGAAGCAAGACTCACTATTGGCCAATTGCATAAGGTGGAAGCACCCGCTAGGAAACCAACTAACCTCCAAAGTCCTGAATGGTGCGGGCGGTGAGTTCAATGTAGCCGATCATAGAGGTGACCCCAGCGAATGACAGACACAAGAAAAACAGTCCGCAAAGAATACGACCAGCAATCCCGAGTCTTGACATGAGTACCGGGATCCTGAGTAGATTGAAAATGTTAAGTGAATAACAGTCAAATCTGCTCCGATGCGATCCTACACCTAGGCATCTCTGGTGATTTTGGGTTTGCAACATTTTTGAAATTTAAGATACTCTCTTATAGGATGCCTTTGTGGAAGATTAATTCATAACTGTGGGTGCGTCGCATCTTGCCTTATGGCGTTTTCTAATCGTTCTCAAGTGAAGAATCTTGAATTAAACCCGTATAGGAAAGAGGGTAACTAGCATCGCTTTTTTGGTTCGGTGCTTGATTTGAAGAATATTACTTCTGCGGTTTGGGTAGAAAGTAATTAATGTAAATAAAGACGAAAACCAAATTGGGTACATAAAAGTAGAATGAGATTCGATAATTTTAAAATCTCCAGTGCGCGAGTTAATTAAACAGTTTTGTCTGCACGAAGTTGCGTCAATTTTTCAGATTCAGACCAGGTGAAATCTGTGGTCGGACACTAAGTGTTGGTGAAAACACAGATCAGGTTCCACATGTTTTTTGGTTCCGGTTAACACGTCTCTAAAATCAAGACTGGATTAACCGATATTTTTGCAAATTATCTATGTCCGTGGTTCTTAGCTCTAAGAACCGAGTAACTAGGCCCCTGCTACAAATAGTGATAGACTTGTTTTGCAAAAAGAGGAGATGAAATATAAAGTTCACGTGAGCTCCCAATGTTATTTTCTTGTTTTTAACAATCTTTCTGTTGAAATATCCACTTAAAATGACTTCTGATTTCCATAATGCTATTTCAGTCAAAATTGAGTTGAACGTTTTCAGTGCAAATAAGAGGCTTTCAGAGAGTCTATTTCCTTGAGTATTTGGACGAAATATTTTGTCCTACCTAAATTATGTCCGGACATATGTGGTGTGTGCTGCGCACGCGGTCTTATTTTGGTTAAATGCGGTTAAGTGACAGAATGCAATTAAGTTTTATGTTATTTCATAGAAGCGCATGTAAACACAGATGTCCTACCATGCGCGCGACGCTCCCATGCGAACAAGCGGTGCAAGTAGCAGTATGCATGGCGTCGACGTCCTCTATTGACTAGATAGGCAGAGGGTAGAAATGCGTAACTTGATCTTGTTGGAATGAAGGAATAAGGTTAGGTAGGTTAGGCAAGGTTTTCCCCGCTCAGACTGTCCCTCTTTAGCTTGGTTTGTGCAAAACTACCCAGTAACTGGCATAATATTTAAGGATGCTAGCATTTGCCTTCGTCACTTTAACCGGACCTCTTAGCACTATTGTTTAAAGGAGTAACTAGAAATGGCCGCCCTCAAGAAGAGGTTAATTTGACCTATCCTGCTCGTGGAACGCGTTTCAAATTGCATCGGTAGAGCATCCCTCATTGCATTAAACTCCTATAACAATGATTACTCAATTTCTTACCATGTAAACGAAAGGCCAGTGCTACCCGGACCACTTTCTTTCATGATGGCCACAATGTGAGGCACTGTTAAAGTGGGTTGTGTTTGAATAAGCGTCGAGAACGCTGTGGCGAAGAGGGTAAGGCCACAGATCAGACTAAAACGGAGAAGTGTGCAGATGTAAAGGGTTTCATTAGACTTAGGTTTAAGATTACCTCGTGTACTTTCGCCTACCTGACTAGGTTGTTAATTATTGGCAGGATCACACCGAAGCGAACAGCTCCGGTTTTGCGTGTAAAGTAGGCGGCATAAGCAGAGAAAAGACCCATTCCAGCTGCCGTATCAAATGCATTCTGACAAGCAGCTTCAACGTAGATATGGGGGTCAGCAAGTGTCGCTAAAATTGATCAGTGGGTCAAAACAAAGGGTCAGTCAACTGAAATCACACGAAACAGGTGTCTTGTTGAGACTTACACCAGTCAGGCGTGAACATGAATTTGATGCCAACGTCGGCGTACTCGCGTGACAACGACCAGTAGAAGGTTATGAGTACGATAATCATTTGAATAGGGACCATGCAGCTATTGGCGATTTCTATTCCCTTTACCCCCTTAAATATGGCGATCCCGCAAATGAGCAGCTCGAGTGTGTGGAGTCCAAGTGGCCAGTAGGTTCCCTGTAAAGCAAATTACTTTCAAAGAGACTACTCCAGAGTGTTTAAGTCACTACTTAAAAATGGCGACTTACGATAAATTCCTCAAACACTTTTCTGCTCTCCGGCTCTGCTGAAGGGAGTTCTGGCCATGCACATGCGACGTAAAAGTAGTAGAAACACCACCCAACCACGACCGAGAAATAGGCGCTGAAATGGACAGTCACAGATTTTTGACTGACTAGCTGGCTTTATTTACAAACAGCTGACGTTTTTTAAACAGTAAATAAATCAAGATTAAAGGGACCCACCCAGAATGTGGTGACTAGCTGGGATTGTAAGGTTACTATTAATTCGATAATTGGCCCCTTTCAATACTTAGTTCCTCAGCATAATACATGATTTTGTTAAAAAATGGTAGAAAGTTCCATTGTACTTTAAGCTGCGGTACCTGACCGCAACATTAAGAAACCCTAAGCATCTTAGCCGTGCTCTAATGCCATTCCTGCTCGAATGTAAAAATGATAAAACGGTGAGGATCATTGGCAGGATCAACGTTAGCGTAGATTGAAAGAATGTTTTCGGGTTTTATTCAACTAAACTAAACACTAGTGAAGACGTTCCGTCACCCAAATTGCCCACATGATTTTCCAATGGAATCAATTTCTTAAATGGCAGTCATTCTCCCAGATATTTACCTGATTAAAAATGCAACAGCTGTAATCCAACCGCCAACCCAAAGGCATTTCGGGCCGAGGAACTTTTCAATAGCAATGATGGGCGAACTTCGAGTGAACCGACCCAAGGTGTATTCGGTTATTATCAGCGGTACTGACCAAGCAAAAAGGAAGAAAATCCAGACCATCATAAAACACAGGCTTCCTGAAAGTCAAAAGAATAAATTCAAATTGTTTACACTGGCGAGACCACTGTGGGTAACCACTGATGGCACTGGTAGACCTTTAGCGTGCGAATGCGTTTTTTTCTTTAAAAAATTAGGGTACTTTTCGCGTAAGGGTTAATGGGAATTATCTCGTTAGTTGGTTTGAATGCCTTTACAACTGATTTACAGTTAAAAGGCTTTAAACTAGCTACCTGAGCAACATACACTGAATTTAAACCAAATGACCTTTGTGGAATGGACGTCAGCAATGCAATCGATGAACAAATGCAACTAAACATCGACAGAAAATTTTCTACCGATAAACTCAGCAAAATCATATCACGTTGATACTATTTTTTTGCCGTTGGATTGCCATAGGTTGTATGGGTGAACGCTAACACACGCAGTCGTCTCACCTACCAACCAGCGTTGCTTTCTACCCGCGACATTTAACTCACATGATTAAGTGACATTTGGAAGACACCAGCTCAATGAGTTTCCAAATGCGAGGGTGTGGAAATTTCCGTGCACCTGATGTTTGGTGCTTTGTGTCATTTTAGTCTTGTGGATGTCGGGTTAAGTTGACTTCAGTCTACTACATATTGCATTTTGTTGGTGCTCAATTGCAGTGTTGGCAAAATTTGTATCAATAGGTCAATCCTCAATTTAATCCGACCTTAACTTTTTCTAGTTTAAAGTTCACGGGAGTCGGTTAGAGCATTAGCATTATCGATGAATTAACCTTTACATGGACTTTGATTCAATTTACTTAGCTAAATAATCATTATGCTGATAGCTTATAAACTATCAGGCAGACTAAAACCACCTCTTTGCAAAAAAGGGACTGCAATTATGGAATATCTGGATTACAAAAAAAGTCTACCATAATACAACTACACAGACTTAATTAAACTGCGCATTTTGAAATCTATCGGATGCATGCCTCAGTAATAAGGAATTAATGTTGTTCCGCATAAAATCGTAAACGCGATAGCTAAAAGTTTAATTGTAATGTAACATTCATGAAGAAAAACTTGTCGTTCATCATCGCAAGCTTTTATCGGCAGAAAGTTTAAATTTATGGATTCACTTTACCTTCAAGTCCAACGTACCATCAAAAACATCTACTTAAATGTTAAAAATTGAAGGTCATTTTAACCTTACAGCAGCTTCATTTCATAAAATCGAAGGAAACAGAGATTGAAAAATCCAAAATCCAGCAGTCCATATTGTTTTTTGTGCTTTATTACGGTTCGACTTCCATCAATCATTTACGTGCTTTATACTGCGTTTATTGGCTAGGGTAACTCAGGTATCATGTCTGTCAAGTCGAAAACTGACGTGTAAATTTTAGTTATTTCGTAAGGGGAGCATAACTGTGGCCATGAAGTGACTCAGCCATACTGAAGACTAATCTTTTGACAACAATGATGAAAGAACATTGGAATTTACACTGAGCTTCAATCCGACTAAAACAACTTTTTCAACAAATCAATAAATGATGTGCTACGTGGCATTCGCATTTAGAAGTAGAAACAGCGTGGCCTACAACCACGTATCTGGAGGCTTACCGCGGTCGGAGCTTGCTGTGGCGACGATTCTGGGGAACCGCCAGATATTTCCAGTGCCAAGGACGCACCCCAGGCAGGAGAGAACGAGGCCAAAAGAATAAGTGAAGTTTTTGTTTCTCCCATTTTTACTTGCAACCAGCTCAATGTCACCGCTGTTGATAGAATTCTAGGGCAAAATATGCTTGTATGTTACTTTATCCTGAAAATGATATGCTAACTTTCGTGCTACAAATTTAGTCGACCACTTAAGAGGAAAGACCACGTCATTCACGGAAGGAAGATACAACAAAGTCTACGATAACATGTATCACCGTTATCTCTTTATCTAAAATTGAATAATCTGCAAAGTGTGACTGCACAAAAAGCTACCCATTTGTTAATTCTAGGAAAAACAAGCATCATTGCGATTCATTTGAGGCAATTTTCGCCTCGCCTGGTCTACTCTTGTATGTAAGCGAAATGCAGTTATGCGCATTGAATTATGAGGCCCATAACCTACCAAGTCATCTGTGTTTTCGATAGTGATGCACTTTGAATTTGTGTCACAGCTGTGAACACTTGATCCGTCTTTCAAGGGCGACATTAAAATGAAAATGGTTTGTGAAAAAAGAGCAGCCAGTTATATAGAATAAAACAGCAGCGAAGAAATTGGCTAAGGTAGATCGTTCCAATGCGATTTAATTACTTGCTTACTATTGGCGTGGATTTGAAATTCTCGCGTTACAATTGGTCAGATGTAAACGAAGAGAAAAGGTGGCGCTATGCCATGTTACTCTCAAAAGACCTTAGCAGTTGTGCTTGTTAAAATACCTGGTTCAGGAAAATACCAAGATTTTGATTGGTTTTAAGTTCTTGCTAATGCATCTTGTTGACATGAGCTGGTTGTTGATGACAACTTAACAAATAAGCCTGTTTAGCCATGAAATCATCTATCAAAATGGAAACTTTTAAGACATAACCCCTATAAATGTTTCTGCGAAACTCCAACCTCGGCATTCAGAAGGGTGTGTGATAGGGTATTAACCTTTTCCCAGGTAAAAATTCTAATAGAATGTTAAACCACTCCTGTACTCATTAATTTGCTTCCACACCGAGATGTCTATTAATAAATAGAAAAGGATGCTTAGATGGAAGGGCTCAAATGGAAAATGGTAGTCAAAATTGAATCTCCGCATCTAGTTTCAATCGAGAAAATACGTTGGAGACTACGAGGATGACGTTAATTGCAACCACAAAACTAACTTTACACGGTGTGCGTGATCCAGACTCTAGTTTAATGCAGTTGAAAATGTTAACCTAGATCTTAGCTGTCACACGTTTTGTAGGCTACGCGCACGTGACCACTTGTGTGTTTCGCGTGTGGAGGATTTTTCCACGGTTGGACTTTTTTCCGAGTGATTATTCCAGTACCAGGCCACTCTATTCAACACTTAGCGTTTTCCTTCACTCTTCACGGTGAATTCATTGGGCAACGTGCCATTTCCACTTTGTGCTGTTCTTGCAACACTTGAACATACATTGGATGTCTTTAGCTAATGCAGACGAGTCGATTCGCAAACTAGCAGAGACTACTGTTTACAAGAAAGCTCAACCCAGCTGTGTTGTCGAGTACGTGTATTCAAGGTACCGAGTGGGCAATGTGGTAGTTGACCGACAAAGCCCTTCGTACAAGAGTAAAAGTGCAAATGCCTGATTGGTCAGATAAGTAAGGCTTACAGTGAGGTGGTAAGTGCACGGGGTTGTCTGAGTAGGCCGTCTCTCGGTGTGAAAAGAGAGCAGTCAATCGGAGAATGCGGCTGCAGAGGGAATGCACGGGGATAAGCACGAGTCGCCGCAGGTTCCTGCTATGTTAATACGCATAAAAATTGTTTTAACGCATTTTAAATTGACACAATTGATAACAAATTCACTTCGAGTGCAACTTCTGTGGGAGGCAGCCTCCTAGGGTTAAATTAAGTCTAAGTGAAGCGTTATTCAATTCTAAAAGGCATTACAACATTTGTCATGTTATTTCCGTATAAAATTTTATTTTGTTGGAACACTATGGTGGTGGTAAACGACTCTACTTGCTGTGTACATTTACCGTTTACTATACTTATTGTCGTTTTGGATAACTGCTAATTGTTTTGCTGTTCTTCAATTCTATCTACTATTGCTTGTGCTGATGTTATTTACAGGAATTCTTAAGCATCCATGTCCTCAGAAACCCGTGGCACAGTTTAAATTCCTGATTTTTGTGCTTATGAATGAATGGCGTTTGCTCAAACTCCGGGTTGTCATCCTTTTGAATTATTTATTAACTTAAAATGCTTTGCCAACATTCATCCGTACTGCCTAATATATTGATACTTCAAGATACTAGCCTCGGTAAGGTTTTCTATGCATTCCAAAATAGCGGAAATTATAAAATTTTAGGCAATAAGCTCAAAGAAACATAATAAAACCTTATTCCCTTTGATGGATCAGGCAAGCAACCAATAAACGACCGGCCAGAGATGTCAAATCAGATCGAGATTTTGAATGAAGCGAGACATCAGTCTAACGTCTTTCTACTGCTGTAAAACGCCTGCTGTTGGTAGGTGCAGGTTGCTTTTACCTCGAAAGCTACCTCCAAATTTGCTAATTAGTGGCTCAAATTGTATGACAAGGGTGCGTGGAAGTGTGATTCACAACCACAGCCACAGGTGTTAGACAAAATAACTTTGCTTAAGTCTGCCTTAAGAGTTCAGCGATAATTACGATGTGTTCAAACGGGGTTCAGCAGATATGGCTACCCCACTACCCGACTCCTTTTCCTTGCCCAGTTTTTTTTTGAAATCTAACCTGATTATTGCAACTGGTTTCACCGCAACACTACCGAAAGTATAATTATTGGTTAAAACCAGTGGTATTTTATAGTTGTGAGAGGACAGAAATAATTTCCACCTTCTAATTTGCACTGCTATTGCCGTGTTTTCCATACTTTATGCTGACTCCCACCTACCTCTTCGCTCTACTAGACTCAACCGTAGAATTTCACATTAGACAGGGGCAGTCTATATATCGAAAAATGTGATGCTACATAGCCTTGTTCCTTTTGTCTGTGTTCTTGCAAGCAGAAAACGGGCATTCATGCGTGCTTAGTAACTTCACAAAGCCGTCCATTAAGGGTTAAAAATGTACAAATTTCACTGATTGTGAAACTACTACAGAAGGCGCGCATCCTGCCAGGAGATGAGATGGCTGCGCAGGAATCCAGTTTACAATTTTTGACGCAATTAGCCTGAAGTTGCCTCTTAATCTAACCTGTCTTTCTGGATACCAAACCTCTGTGATCATTCTATAATTGGAGTCCTAAAACACTCAAATTAGTCATAGACTAGATTATGAACTGAATCAGGGGGTCACGAATGAAAAACTCCAATTGAGTGCTTATTAACATTTATGCAGATTTTCATGTATCACTGCCATCCTCCTTTCATTGATAATATCAGGAGCTGATCCGTTGCTGCTTTCACGTAATCGAACTGTCGAACTGCGATATGACAAATTCGTAGCTAAAAGCTGCATCCTTAATAAAATGCAATTTCAAACAAGAGAGGTAGGCTTTATTTAAGGAAGGGCTATCAAATATATAAAAGCTTTTACAACCCCTAGAATACGGGAACCTTGATAATAAAATGCGCTAAACACTTATGTTCTGGGTTTTTCTCATGTAAAAGCGGAGTGCACGTCGTGCATTATGAAAATGACTTGATTAGATACCAGTAAATCTGGCTGGCAGTGAAATGGTAAAAAAACTGCCTTGCCAGCACAAAACTTGAATTTACAATAATTTCTAATTCAAGTTGTTAGGCTCACAACCCAAATTATATATCCATATTTAGAACCTATTTTGCCCTTGGCCTACTCCAAGTCTGTTGGCGCATTCTAGGGATACGGATTGCATTGCGTGGAATGCAAATCTTCATCCTAATTTGAAAGAAAATTTATGATTGTCTAAAGGTGTTTGCTAATTAATTTGACTCTGTTCTTGTAAACCACTTAAAGTGTCACCAGATCTCCGTTTTTGCCTTTAACATACAAACTCTTGCATGTATTTGAATTAACGACGATTAAAATAAGGAATGGGGATCGTAGGTCCTAGTAACCGGAACACTTGTTAGTCATATGCGAACAAAACGTGGCAAACGTGCTACCTTTTGCTAATTTTCACCACTCATTTCAACATAATTTTGCAAAGTATAAGCTGTTTTTCAAGAAAATCATCCTTGCTGCTTCAAACGACCAAACTAGATGTTGAACATGGGAGCTAACCTGTCGTGTTCGCCTAGTTTTTATTCGCTGCCAAAAATACAATTTCTATAATTGGAAGCCATTCGCACGGTTTGCAAACTTCCCATGCATTTCAAATCACAAGGTGAAGCAGCCTCGTAATAGGAAACGCGACCTAATTTTGCCCTTATTCTTTCCAATAGTTTTATGACCAATCACGAAGCGTCTTTTCAGCACAAATATGACCAGGATTACTCATGATGGAGCCCTGATACTACTGCCATTCCAAGTGTCTTCCAAAACTGCGCATGACTGCTGGCATGGACATTCACGAATCTGCGGGGCTTACGTGATTTTAACATAATTCTTTGACATTTTGTATTTGATTAATGTATTAGCTGAAATTGTCGTTATCACGGTAATATATTTCACAAAAGATAGCCAAATAAATATGTCAATGGTCGTAGGCAATCTGAAGTGACGCATTAGAACGACAAAAAAAATAATTAATCACCAATTTCTACGTGAAAGGTCCTTTGAAAATGTTCAAATGCTTAAACTGTGACAGGATAAAGTGCCTTACTGGGATGATTTGCCTTCACTTCACCTTGAATGCCTTCACACTTGGATCGCGTCTTCTCACCGCTTAAATTACACAATCAGGGTTTTGATTAAATTTTATTGGCCAGTTGTAATGTCATGGGATCATTTTGGATGGCATTGTCTTCACGGAGGCACACCAGTCACGCTTTTGTTAAGAAAGGCCACAACTTCACCTTCCATTAGACGAAAAGATGTAACTATGCTGAACGATGACAATAGAACAGACAAATTATGCACACCTAACAATGTCATAGATACCGTGATTATTTTCTTCAGGTTCTCTTAATCCGCAAGTTCGGGATATCTCTC